CAGCCCCCAAGGGGTTTTATTTTTCTTTGGTGATGCTTTAAGATAATGCTTTTCTCCAGTGGTACACAGACGTGTTCCATAATTTATGTGTAGTTGTAAACTGCCTGTCTCTTCAAGTAGGACTTACACACACACACACACACACGCTTGACTGTACTTAGTACTTATCAGCCCACACTATTGAGCCTCTTTATCTCCTTTCTTCACACATTGAATGATGAACCTCCTCTCTGAATGAGTCTCCAAAGCAAACTTAACTGGCAAGTGCTGATTACCCTGTGAGGCAGAGCAGAATATTGTGGATATTCATTGCCAGCTTCTCCCATGGCCACTACTTAGTGTTTCAGGCTGGTGTTCACTGAACCCTTACGTACAAAGCACATCTTGCAACTTCACAAAAATCCAACCAAAACCATTCTTTGTGTTACACTTGAACTATGCTGTGGACTGTTTGTCAGAGAGAGAAATGTTAACATGTAAAAATTGAAAAGTGACAGACAGGGTATAGCTTTGTTGTGGATGGTAAACTAGACACAAGTATTATCCAAATGGCACATGAATTGAAATGAATTTGGGCTTTTAATGTTCAGTATGAGCAAGTCATGGTGTTAAATAGCTACAGGTGGTTGTTAGCAAATCTTTGACTTGCTAATGCCTTTTAGGAACAAGGACTGTTAGAAGAAAAATAATTCCTCTTGCAGGGCTTCTGTTGCAGAGGAAAAAAATTCTTCAGGTTTATTTTTTGGTGTTTAAGATAATGCTTTCTCCAGTCGGTACTCAGACGTGGTCCATAATTTATGTGTAGTTGTAAACTGCCTGTCTCTTCAAGTAGCTTTACTGACTTACACACACACACACACGCTTGACTGTACTTAGGACTGTTCAGCCCACACTATTGAGCCTCTTTATCTCCTTTCTTCACACATTGAATGATGAACCTCCTCTCTGAATGAGTCTCCAAAGCAAACTTAACTGGCAAGTGCTGATTACCCTGTGAGGCAGAGCAGAATATTGTGGATATTCATTGCCAGCTTCTCCCATGGCCACTACTTAGTGTTTCAGGCTGGTGTTCACTGAACCCTTACGTACAAAGCACATCTTGCAACTTCACAAAAATCCAACCAAAACCATTCTTTGTGTTACACTTGAACTATGCTGTGGACTGTTTGTCAGAGAGAGAAATGTTAACATGTAAAAATTGAAAAGTGACAGACAGGGTATAGCTTTGTTGTGGATGGTAAACTAAGACACAAGTATTATCCAAATGGCACATGAATTGAAATGAATTTGGGCTTTTAATGTTCAGTATGAGCAAGTCATGGTGTTAAATAGCTACAGGTGGTTGTTAGCAAATCTTTGACTTGCTAATGCCTTTTAGGAACAAGGACTGTTAGAAGAAAAATAATTCCTCTTGCAGGGCTTCTGTTGCAGAGGAAAAAAATTCTTCAGGTTTATTTTTTGGTGCTGTCCAGAAGACTGAAGCTTTCAGATATGCTCGAGTTTCTGTCATTTGAGGTAGAGATACACTATCAGTAAAGGCCGCATCCCATGAAATGAAACAGGATTGCATTTTTGAAGTGGATTACTTTAAGCTTATTCTTTCTCTGTCTTTTTTTTTTTTCTCCTTAGGCATGATCAGTTTACCTCCTGGCATAGTAAAAAGATTGGCTGATGAAGGGCCGCTCCTTTTCTGTGCGCTTGGGCTGCATGTGATTTCTCGCTCGCTCGCTTTGGTTTTTAACTTGAACCTGTTCTCGTAAGATGTGTTTAACACTGAGAAAATTTTCCACATTTCTCATTCGCCTTCTAAGACCGAGTCAGTTGATCCTGTGCGGCAGCTGACAGGTAGCTGAGCAAATGCCCAGTGTTTTACAAGGCTTTCCGAATGAATTGAATATCCAATGCTTTTAGTGCAGAACTGGCTTCTTTTTCAGTGTTCAAATAAAAAGCAAAGCAATAAAAATGAATACCATTTTCATTTTTCTCTTGATGATTTTGGGTTTTTTTTTGGGGGGAAGCCCTCCTCTGTTAATGGAAAGCCCTGCTGCTTTACGGTGTTATCATAGAAAGGTTTTTTTATTAAGGCGCCTTGGGATTTTAGTGAAATTGGGCCAGTTAGTGGAATTGGCATCGTGAACTATGTGAGTGCCTTTGGAGAAAACCTGTTTGCTTAGTTCTTTATGCCAAATTGGTAACCGACTAACAGTAAAGTAGCCTGACTGCGGAGCCTCTTTGAGATTTAATCACACCACAGACTGCTCTGGAGAACTTTAATTTCACCCTGATATTTCCCCCTCCCCCTCTTCCCCACAGCTTTTCTTTGGTTTTTGGAATTAGTACTATAAAACACAAACTATCCGTATGGCACTTGAAATACGAAAGCCATGTGCAGCATGTAAATTAATGGTGTCATCAGTTCCTGAGCTCTGGTGGGTTCACAGTAGTTGTGCAATATTCAGTAGCATCCAGCAGACCAGTCCCTGTTGATAGCCCATGTTTATAATTCAAGGAGAGAGGTATCCAGGACTTAATGTGTCAGCAGAACAGTCCAGAGTAATGGCAAAATTTTCTCTCCGCTTTGTGCCAGCCCTATAAGCACCTTTTGATTCCGTTCTGACCATTGAAAAAAATATCTGTGCTATGAGCGACTCTCTTGTGACTTCTGTGATGAGCGGGTTTGAGAACAGTCAGTCCTTCCTCCTGGTCGTGGTGTAGAAGGAAAAGAAAAACTTTCACTTGGGGCTCCATAAGTATGACAAATTGAAATGCATCTGAAGTTCTTGTGTTATTTGGGGCTGGTACTGCAGATACCTGCAATTAACTTCACTCGTGGCCTGAGGACCTGGCCTTTAAACTGTCAGCTTTGTGATAAGGTGATGTGTCTCATCTATGAACTGCTCCGTGTACTTACAGTTGTTACTGCTTTCTAGTAAATACCAGAGACTGCATAAATTGTGTTTTGTGGTGTGAAATACTTTTCGACAGTATGTACTGAATTTTGGCAATGCGAAGGCAGTTTTATTTCTGAACGGCTCACTGGGAAATTGCCTTGAACTGTTAGCGTTTTCATCTGAGAGATGGTTTAGAAATGTTTACCAATGCAACAATTGTGTATGTATCTAGGACGAGGGAGACTGTTTCTAGGAATTTAAGAATGAATTGACTTGCATAAATCAAGAATTTCAGGTGCTTGTCTCTAGAGCTTCTGGAATTGTCAAACTGTTAGGCTTTTAGTGGTTATACATTTAAAAAAAGAAAATCTCATGTATTTTTTGAGCATACTTTTGCATCAACGTTGTATATGGGTAAAAGTAATCATCCATCCTCCTCATAGTTTAGAGGGAGAGCAGAGAAACAGATGGGTAAGGATATCCTGAGCTCAGGATGAGACTTAAAATAACATTATGGCTGCGAATTGGTAAGATGAACAGCTTCCACCTGGTATGGCTTCCATCTGAATGGCTTTGGATTAAATACTATTTGGCGCTACGTATTGTACTAAATTGAAAGTCCAGATATTTCTAATTGAGGCCCCTGGCTTCAGCGAACGAACCTTGACTATGTCTGTGTGTGTCTAGGGAAGAAAATAAACCTAATGAAACAAAGACAGTTATCAGATGGAGAGGGATGAATAAACCTTCATTAGGATTTGAGCCAGTTGATTTAGATAGGATTAGAAGAAACTTAGGATTTGATGGAAGAGTTGGGGTTTTTTAGGTTTGGGTTTGGGTTTTTTTGGGGGGAGAATAAATCCCCCAAAGGCAAAACCAAATAGCAAAACCTATGTCAGCGAAAGCCTTTGAAGTCCTTCAGAACATTATTACTTGCTGAACTATAAGGTATAAAACTGTTCTTGTGTGGAGCTCAGGGGAAACCAAAGTTTCTTTGCTGAGAACAGTTGAGAACCGTAGTAAAAAGATAATAGGAACACTGAAGACAAAATTAAATTGGGGACTCTAAATCTATAAAGAACTCTGTAAGATGTTGTCATGGATCATTGTTGGAGTTTCTACGTAGCGTAGATTTGGAAATAATTATGTTCGTAGTTTAATAAGAGCTTTGCATGTCTGAGCTACTCTCCAACAAGCAGAATGTATGGGTGCGTATAAATAAAGCTGTAACGCTCTGGCTTTCGGGGCCTCACCTGAAACTCTAAGTCAAGCAGATCTAATAAAGCTGACTTCAAGCCAATGGCTGGTTTTAATGCGGCAGCTCACAGTGGTGCTGTAAAGTGAAATGCTTGAGACACTTTTATTAGAGATTTCTTGCAGCTGAGGCTCGCTCAGTGGGGCTTTTACAAGGGATTGTCATGCCAGTTTTGGTGCATTAAGAAGAGGCTGCGTTAGGGACCCTTTGGAAATTCATGCTTGTAAAGCAGCAGGATTCGATGTAATTTGATTAAAAAAAAAAATCATAATAGGATAGGCTCTTTATTCCCCTTGAATGTTTACTCCTGAAAGTTGAAAAGGCAGTCTAAATTTTATGTATTCCTCCCCCCCCCTTTTTTTTTTTTACCATCTTTATAAAATGCTTTTAAGACCTTGAAACTAGAAAAGTCTGTGCAACATTGTCTATTTTGGCAAAGTCCAAAGTGTGTGTTCTTTTTTTTTTTTTTTATTTAAAAGCAAGGCAAAAGTTGGCGTAGTTTGGCTTTGTTTACTTCTGCTTGTGCGTTAGCCTGTCCCGTCAATGTCAGCAGAAACGTGCTGCTGTTATGGGAGGGGGGCAGAGGTGCCGTTACTGTCGACCGGGCTCGGCCGGCATGCTCAACTCCCACGGAACAGCTGCTTTTTTTGTGTGTGTGTCAGCAAAAAGCTGGGTGGTTTTCTCTCTCTCTCTCTCTCTTTTTTTTTTTTTTTTTTAAGCAGTTATATATGGATTTATATCACTTTAAAATCAAATTGAGAGCAAATTCCCCTCTAAACTGTAATGGTTTGAAATTTGGATTGCTTTTTTTTTGCTTTTGAACTTCCTGAGTGTGTCCCTATAGGGACAGGAGCGTTAAGCACTGCTTTTTTATTACAGGATGATGTATGATGCTAGAGAAGACTCGGTGCTGTTTCTGTCATTTGTAAGGCAGTTATGATTGCCCTATCCAGGTTGTTTTCTTTGTCTGATGATGGAAGAGGACTGTATGTCTGCTAGTTTGAATTGAGGTCTTTTGGTGAATAACCAGAATATTAGCTTTGCTGAACTTGGATATTCCTCTTTGAGAGCTGCTCTTGTATGTAGGTATCAAATCTTAAAAACATATGCAGGTTATTCAGTCCACCCCCCTTTTTTCTCTCATATTAAATATTTTTTTTTTTTCCCCCCTTGGAAGAAACGGGTCATGAGAGACGTCTTGTGATGCAATTCTTGATTCCTAGTGGGATGTTGGTTTTTGAGAGTAGTGTATGCGTGTCTTTACAGCAAAACCAACAGGCAACACAATGTAAACAAGATGGCTAGAAGCTTCATCAAGTTTTCACGGGGAGAGCTGTGCTGTTCACTGCAGAGCATACTGTCCCGCTGTTTGGGGACTATGTAGTATGCAAGGAGGTTTGGGACCATGTGCGTAAGATGTTTTTGCACTTACTGTGACCCAAGGAGACCCGTAAGACACAGGATCATGTTAATGGGTGCTTTCTGGACCTTAGCTGCTCTCTCCCTGCGATGTTGTGGGTGTTTTGGTTGGGCTGACTAGTCAGTCTTGGCCAGACCAAGGCACGCTCTTCCAAGTCATCACATGTAAAATTTTACAGAGCCCGTTACAAACTTGGAGATCGCTTGATTTACTTAAGGTGGGGGGTGTTGTTTTCCTAACCTCTCTGTAAGCCTCACTGCCCACTTTGTTGCTCCAACGGCTTGTGTTCTGCAGGGACTTCTTGCAAATCTGTACCAGCCAAAAGGATCTCATGCTTTCAGTATTCCTCATGCCACATAATTTTGTGAAGCTATACGTTGTATTTGAAAGCTGTGGTTTTAAGAAGTCTGAAGCAAGGTGCGCATGATAATGATAAAATACAAAGGAGATTAATCGTATAAAATAGAGAACAAGTAATAGTTTGTCTTTCTCCCCACTGTGCCATGTTGTATCTGTGTGTAAACGTGGAACGAATGGCAAGTAAACACGAAGATGCGGTCCTGTGAGAGTTTGTGTCAATGGGAGACCTAGATTCTTGATGTAACCTTGGGACTGAAACAGACATTAGATGCTTAATTGTAAGTTGCTAAAAATGATGTCAGTCTGAGAAGGGTTTTTTTAATCTTTTGGAAACAGCGTACAATTGATTGCTGCTTTCACCAGTAGCAGTTTTCATTGGTTACATCTGGGGTTTTTTTAAATTAAGAATTACAGAGAACAAATGCTACTTACGTTGACTCTTACCTCTTGAATCTTTAATTCTGAGCCCACAATTGATTATGATGAAGCTGTTCTCTCTGAAATGGACAGCAACTTGAGGCTGCTTGAAAAACTTAATAATTCATTCCTGTTTATGCATACTGTAATACAATAGGTTATAAATCACTAATGTCATACACCTAATCAGGCATTGTCAGTGGGACTTTAGAGATATGGTGGTGTGATCTGAGAGGTTTTTCTTAGCTACAAATATGAAAATAAATTCATATTTTTGCTCTAAACTTACAACGCTGTCTTAATTGTTTTCGTGCTTCTTTTTCCTTCAAAATTTTCTAATACACTGACATTTCAGGTTGGCAGTGTGGCCACTAAACGTGGTATCCGTGTTGCATGGAGTTTTAGTGGAGTAGAAACTCAGTTATTTTCAAAAGAATCCACAGAAAACAAACATTTTCTTAAAGGTTGTGGGTTTTTCTTCCATACTGTCAGTAGTACATTTGTTTAGATAAGAATTTAGTCTCAGTGCAGGCCTATATTGTTTTATACGTGTATATTTCAGATGTTATGTAAATAACTTTATATGAAATCTAATTTTTACTTATAACTTTATACTATATATATATTAAAAAAAAATTTGATTTCTAGGTCAGAAAGACATGGAAAGTACTTGCAGAGGAAAGTACTTGCAGAAGATGAAGTGTTGTGGTACCGGTTGTGCCAACAGGAAGGATATCTATTAGATACAAGCATCTCTGATCATTCCTGCTGGAAGCTCGCCCTCAAGGACTGCCGCGCCAGAGAGCGCACTTTGAAAACCAACTGGAAGGTAAAAGGGAATTTCTTTAATGGGATCCAGATGCTGTAGAAAAATGGGAACCTGGTTCAAGCAAGTGGTAGTGAAAAGTTGGGTCTTTTGTGTTGCAGCTTCTTTTTGCCAGTTAAAAGGGGAAAGCTGCTGAAGGATTTATGAGACTTAGCCCTAGCTGTAATACCTTTTATTCCAATGACCGATTACTTTTGGGAGTGAGTCCTTGTGCTTGCTGTGCTACTCCATTGACTTTGGTGAGAGAGGGATGTTTATACTTCAACCATCCCTTGATAGTGAGAATCAGCCTTTAAGGTGAAGGCTCCTTCCCCTGCTCATTACCTGTCCTGGCTAAAAGAAAGCTACCTTGTTGTTGTTGTGATAGTCGTTTCTCTACCTAAATATTATGAATGATAATGAAGAGTGATAACTTCCTTCTCCTTCATTTCTGTCTGTAAAAATTCCAGGAGGCAAGCATAAAATAGATGGGTCTTCTCTCTCAGCCGCACTGCGACTTGTCACTAGCAATAGCAAAGTTCGGAGTTTTCCACAAAGCAGCAAATTAACTTGGTCGACGAATGTATTGCAATCCCAACACCATGTCTTGTCTTTCTGTGCAGAACCGCATCGGTGCTGTGAGCCAGCTGCGATATGAGCTGGGAAAAATTCTTTGTGATGTACATTCTTGCGATGGAGTTGTTATTGCTGGGTGAGTATGAGGTTGCGTAACGCTCTTTTAATCTTTACTGTTCGAATTCTCATGTACTGCTTTTTAACAAATTCAAAAGAAGCATCCGTTTGAGGCGACAAGAATGAATTTTTCTGACTGCAGTTCCTTTGTGGGTGAGGTAGATTGTCCTTAAAGTGACTGATAATGATGGTTATCTACGAGTCATTTCAGCAGTGCAATTTTTTATTATACTGTTCAAAAAGCTATCTCACGTGCATATGGTCCCTGTAAAGACACTAGTACTTTCTGATGAACTGTATCTATTGTTTAGCTGTGGAAGCACTCAGAATGTAATAAATATTGTACACATCTACTGAAAAATGCTCTTTTTATTATTATTTTTTTTTCCATAAAAATCTGTTCGTCACAAGGATATTTTTGTGTGCTGTGGCAAGATAACTTCAGAAGGACTGTTACTTTTTTCCATTGTTTTTTAAAAGAAAATCTGGGGGGAAAAAAGCCACCACCCAGAGAAACTCAAACTTCTCTTTTCCTAATGTAAAGCTTTGTCGGGACCCTGATTTAATGTTAGCTATTCATTTGGGTTACACTCTTAAATACAATTTTGACAACCTCCCAAACTCTTGGAAGAGGTTACCATGACTGCCAGTTCCAAAAGGGACCGCAAAGGGAGTAGATGTAAGGCTTTACTATATTCTGCTTGAATTTTACAGGTTCAGTAATTAGTAGCCCTCCAGAAGAAGTCACATGAATAAATAAAAATTATGTCATCCTGGGGGCAGTCAGAGGACATTATCCTTAACATACCAGAGTTCCATGTTTTATGGTAGCACTTCACGTTAATGGTATGGTTATGCATTGTGAGATTAGAGAAAGCTATTTATAAAAAAAAAAACCAACCCTATAAAATTCACTCATTGGTTGTAAGAAAGGTGCCTTGAAATACATTGCATGTAGATAACTCCTATGTACGTTGAAATGCGTTTGAATGCTGTTGGACAACTGAGAGCAGAAATCTAATCCAGCAGACGGCAGGAGTGAAAGGGGAATTTTAATCTTTGATGGGTTTGTTGGTTTGTTTTTGGTTTTTTTACTAGATGCTCTACCACTTGTTTTGCTTCTGCATTTGGTGGTCTCCCTTTCTATTCTCTCTGCCATCCTATTCATTGACTTGCTTCTCTTTCTCTGCTTTTCACGCAATGTTTTTGCTGCTGTAATTGGTTGTGTTGTAGCAATGAAAATGCTTCTGCTGAAGAGCTGTGTACCTCTAGAGGGGCAGTGCCACACAGCGGTTAACCTCAACAGTGGCCGTGGGAAGAGGCTTGAAGAATATGTGTGGCTGGAGTACCGCAGATCTTAACGTTGACTCGTGCCTGATGTTGAGACTTCCTCGGGCCACTGATAAGACACCGCAGCTCCCAGCCTGCTGTGGTCTGCAGCTGGCATCCAGCTCTGCGGATAGCAACCTGACTTCTTTTGTGCCCTTGAGCTTGGGCAGTGTGTTTCCTGGCCTTGGCTAGGGATCTGCACTACTGTATCTGTTCCACTGTATCTAATGAAACCTCCTGTACTTTTTTGGGAGCCAGAAACCCCAGTTGTCTCCACGCTGCTGCCAAAACCTCTAGCTCTTCTTTTTCTTTATTTTCTCCGTTGTGTTTATATCCAAACATGCAGTGTATAGAAGGTAGGCGGAATAAATTTAATTTCTAAAGAATTAATGAACAAAGGAGATTAATCCCGTATATTAAACTCAAATAGTCCATATTTTAGCTTGATGTATTACGGAAGTTGGGTTTATGCAGTTTCACGCTGTCTTTTCATATTGGTTCCCCAGTTCCTCCAATATCTCGATTCCTTTGGTGAGTTTGCCTCAATTGGCATGGTGAAGGCAGGTGGTGCTCTTAAAGAATTTAGGTTCCTGTAAGGTTCATGGTAATAGGTGAGCAGGTAAGAGACCACTGAGGGAAAAGCTGCACGTGCACATCCACTAGGAAAAGTGATGTTACGGGTTTCACTCAAACTACTTGTCAGTAATGTCCCTTCGCTAAGAAAACAAATTTCAGTAATGAAGTATCTTTTTATGAAGCTGTGAGCATACGTTTGATTAAAACAACATGGGGAAATCGGGCTTTACCTGGTTAGTAAATGAAATGTTTAGAATATTAGAACACAAAAATTATATTACTTCTTTTGTTGTTTACTACTTGCCCTTCACTCTGGTTTGGTAGCTTGAGATCTCTGAAAGCATCTCTTAAATTGCCGCAAGCAGAAAACTGTTCTGTGAATCTTCTTACCCGAAAGAAGATGAATTTGTTGTTCTGCCAGTGATGATCAAAGTCTGCAAGACAGTAGCACACTGTCACAGCCCCCCAGTAATATCTCATGGTATGTCATGGTAAATATTAAACAAGACAGACTTAAAGTTATAACTAAAACTTCCAAGGACATTAGGAGATTGTGCGGGGAAAGACTTTGTTCATTATATGCATTTGAAAAGTATTTAGGATAGGTAGATTGAGGAATTTGTTGGGTTTGTTTTTTTGGGGTTTTTTTTGTTTTGTTTTTTTTAAATCTGAACATAACCCTCCCTTTTCTTTCCCAGCTTATAGTATTGTACTTAATGGCATTGTGCTTTCAAATTTGTCATAAAAGTGTAATGAATCTGGTGATCAATAGCTAGCTGTTGCATTCTTTCAGTACTGAAGAAGTAATTTAATAGCTGAGGTTAACAGAAGTCAATTTTCTTCTCAGTATAAATATCAATTATCTGTTACATTTAATGATTATATCTCCAGTTTCGCAAACACTTATGTGCTTAGCTTTACATGTGAATAATCATAGATTACAGCCAGACTTGCCGTGTACGTAAAGCTCAACAGATGTGTGACACTGCAAGACTTGAGAAGTTGGTGATGATCTTAAAGCTAATTTTGCTGTGGGGTTTTCTAAGCAGTGGCTTGTGGCATTATTTACCTTTCTTTCTTCTGTAGTCAGGTTGCTGCACTGGAGAAAAATAGGGCCACTCAGTTTTTAGCAGGTTTTTTGATGTCTGACTTTGGGGAGCAGCTGCAACGCTCTGGCTCGGCTTGGTCAGGCCAGCCAGGCATTGCACTCTGTCTTTATAGCTGGAAACTGCGGCAGTATATAGCAGCTGCTCCCTGGTTTCAGGAGGTTCAACTCAGGTTCTTGGGAGATCAGAGAATGGTTATAAAAATTAAAAAAGGGGTGGAGAGAGAGGTTCTCCAGCAGAAATGCTGGAGCTGTTGTGTATTTGGGGTCTTGGAGCAAGCCCGGGAAAAATCTTACTTGATTTGAATCTGTGCTGTGATAGACCTGATCTAGCGTGCTTCCTTATACTGCTTCAAACTCTGCTGGAAAGTGGAATAATTTTTATTTTAGTTGCTGTAGAGCTTTTTTTTAATTTTTCTGAAAAGGAATTTGTACAGGTTGTGGGCAGAGTGACTTAAACAGCAGCTACAAGTATAATACATAGAGGCATAGTTTGCCTGAACTGGTTCAGGAGCAGATCTCTTTGTTAACTTCATGTAAGGAAGCAAAGATAAACTACACAGGGTTAGCTCTCCCTTAGAGAAATAGCACATGAAACAGGTACATCCTCTATTTTCTCCACGCTGCTGCCAAAGCTCAAGCCAGAAGATGGCAGAATATCAAGGATTGATTAAGTGCAACCTGAGCTGTGAGTTGAAGGTGGCTGCTAGCAGCTCCTCTTTCTCCGAGCGCCTTGCATTTACGGGCTGACATCAGATAATTCAATCTGGCCTGCATGCAGAGCATCTTGTGTTTATCATTAAAATTTCATCCCAGCGGTTACGATGCTTGTTTTTTGGGTCAGACCTTGAATCCCTTTTCATTTGAGACAGCGGTGTTTGTGGTTACCTCACTCCCAATCAATGTTGTATTCACCAGCCTTTCTACAGTTACATGTCTGGAAGGATCTTCATTAAAGGGATGTTGTCCTCCCTCCTCTCCATATTCAATTCAAATGTAGTTTCTTCTTTAAGTCAGAGTTTACTTCAAGCGATTATACGTCTGCTCGCTTGGCTTTTATAAATTACTACTGATGATTAGGTTCACTGTACCTAATACAGTTGTATGTTTGGTTTTAATACAGAATGCCTGGATTTCTTCACCTTCTGTTAATAAAATCTTAAACAAATATCTCTCTCCCTCCCATTTTTTTTTTTAAGCAAGCGCATGCTCAGACAGTAAAGTTGGTACTACTTCTTTCTTGGCAGTGTTGACAGCCACACTGATGGGCATTTGTAGTCGGAGGTTAGGTCCTGCTGGAGATACCGATCTCGGAGCACGCATCTGGTCCTTGTTTGAACTGTGTTGTCATTACACAGTGGATCCTGTGGTGTAACATGTCTGTAACATGTTGTGAGACTGTTCGGCTGTCTGACCGGCTCTGTGTGAAATACTTAACGTGTGGCTGTCCTTGAAACTGTGCGGTGAACTTGCCTTGTGTTGGTGGTGATCATCTCACCTCACAACTCGCCCCGTAAAACCACACCAAGTCTGCTGTGAGTCAGGGTGATCTTTTATTGTCCATTGTGTTAACTTTTTTATGCTTGTGGAAAGGGCACTGTGGCTTTACTGCTGCTGTTTGTAGCTCTGAAAGCTTCCCAAATGAAAATAAACAAGAGCTCCAGAGTCAGGCCACCCTTCCAAAGACCCAGAAATATAAAGGTATCTGATGCTTTTTCCTTCTTCAGTTTTCTTTGACTGAAGGAGGAGTGGTAGACTGTTAGTTAAGAGCTTGCATAAGTGGAGGTTTAAGGGCATGCCTCTGCTGTGCCACGGAGACCGGTCTAGCAGATGCTGCGTGGAGTCCTGCACCCCTTACAGGCTCGGCTGGGAATCAGCCCTTGGTTCTTCTCTTTACATTTTAACTTCAGAGGTTTTCCTCCTTCCCTCAGTAAGTACTGTCTTCTTTCCTAGAGATCTTATTTTCTGGAGTTAGGGCTAGTGAGATTCATATGCTCTGAGTGCCTCAA